TTTCAAATGAATCTTTAAGTGCGGGATGAATACTTTTGGAATACAATGGGAATAGGTCTAGCTAGTTGTCCACATTCAGCAGGTGAAGTGACCTAAGGTTCCTTATTGTTTCTAAGACACTGCGACCCTCGAAATGATGCTTAATCTTAACATCAATAAACATATTTATAGTAATCGTGTTCTAGTCTTAACGGTACCATTATGTTAACTGCATATATTTTTTTATTAAGAGGTATACTTATTTCTTAGGAGCATTTTGCGCTTTTTCTGAATTGCTACTCAATTTCCAGATCTAACTGTATGAACACATGCTTCGAAGGAACTTTTACTCGATTAAATTGTCGGGGTGCTATCCTATGATCGAGCTAATTGACAGGTGATCTCCATCGAGCGTCAGAATATGTGTGCACGAATACAAGTGTTTACCCATTACTTCATAGACCGGCGAAAAAGTGGCGAACAAACAAAAATGTAAATTCACAAGAATTTGAATAGATCTTCTCAAAACGTTCAGATAGTTATGTGTTGCGGTTGTAAAATGGTGACTAAGGCTAGCATTGTCGGAGTCGGCAGATGGGTGTTCAATAAGGAGGGGAGGGCGTGGGTGCGTTGGCACGGTAAAGCGTCCAAAAAAGTCTTTACATCGGCAAATTCAAGCTGTATAAGTAAATAATACCATTATATCAAACGACATGAATTAGAGCAGGTTACACCCGATCAACATTGTTGTGTACGTGGTGGATTTGTTGACTTTATTGCATTTTCAATGAGTTTCTCTTTTCCAAAATTATCTCTGGGCATCGTAAACATTGCAACTATTCTAGATGTTTTATTAACTTTACAAAATAACTAAATAATCAACCCCCTCCGTGTACAATGGGGAGTTTAAACTATTGAGAAGATTTACAATATGACTGAAAAGAGTGTTCATGCTACATTAACATCACTTCCTTTTTATTCAAATGTCTATAGATAAGGACAATATCGACTGCACTAGTTCCCTGCAACGAGTCTCTTTAGCCAACACAACAAGGCCGTTGATATACAGCAAAGCCAGCTCACTTTCTCCAAATGTAATTCAAATCGAAATTTCAAGTGGATGCAATACATCTATAAAGCGGATAGAACATTGCCTTAACTGCATTCACATAGTTTAAAATTTTGATAATATGACTGATATATAATATTTACATACCGCACGGTTAATTTATAGAAAACATGACAAAAATACTGACGGTGACGCATAGATAGTATATGATGCAGCATCAATATTTCATTTTGAAGAATCAAGCTTAAGGTTCGCTGTCCAAATGCAGACAAAGCACTAGATAATTCTGTAATCGGTTTTGCAGATACAGTAACATCCCCATAATTTTGTTTTGGACGACATAGCTGCAACACAAATTTGCGAGGGCTTTTCTGTTGACTAGACAGCCTAGTTGGTTAGAATAGCAGCATAACAATTTGAGGTTCAGGGTTCGAAACAGTTCATAAAAGTCCTGCAAAGTTGTTTTATCAAAGTTTTAATCATGCCGAGAGAAAAATGCTTCCGATTTATATATACAACTCCTGGCAGCGATAAGGGGATCCTTAAATCGACTTTAAAGGGATAGGTTTTCAAAGAGTTTCTAAAAACAACAAACGATTTAGATGCTTGTATCTGCTGTTAATTTGTGAATACCTCGGTTTTTGTGACGTTGCATGCTGAGAGTCAGTCTTGCGCCAGATTGCTGTAGTCGTTCTTTACTAAATTATTCCCAATTCTTTATTCCATCAACCCACTTACTAAATAAATATCTTAAAGATGAATAGACATGTACGGACCTGTTTTACCCAAAGTGAACCATCAGATGTTAAAATTGACCTTTAATGAGGTCATTGTTGCGAGCAACGTGATGTGTACCGTTAGAAGTTCTACTTTTTATTCTACTTTTTGTAACTGCTTTGTCATGGGTCTAGGGTATTTCCTTTCGTTCCTCGGTTTCGCCATAAATATTAAAAAAATGTCTGTATAGTCAGAAGCGATAAACTCTTTGGAGTAGAAAGCAAACAATCGTGATAATTTAATCCGTCGGTTTCTTTATCTTGTTTACAAATCCTTACGTATAGAGGTCGTGTCGTCTTTAGGTCAAAGGGTGTTCTTTCTTGTTAACACTGCACTTTTGTACGACATGTAAAACGTTCGCTTTACGTTTGATATATGATCCGATGTACCGACGAAGGCGATGATATATTAAAAACAAGTCAGGGATGTTTGACAATAAATAAATATTGGAAAAAGAAAACAGATATATATATCTCCTTTAATCTTTTTTAACATAATTTATTGTATCATGTAACTATAAAGTTTTGCATGTTTTGTGAGAGTTTAAATTCACAAAAGAAAACAGCAACAAGATTATTTTCATCTCTTTAATATCTTTGAATACCTAATCGCAAGATATTTTAATTACTGAGTTTGAAATGTTTCAAATGATAGAAACAAACAATACAAATAATGCTTGCCTACGGAGAAACTCGATGCATACTGCAAATAACTTCAGTTTTGTGTGTTTTATGTTCATAATTATGCGTTGAAAGGAATAACAATGTATAAATTTGGTTAACTGTGTCTTTTCAATATTATTAAGATAATGGCACATGGCGTGCTACAATGCCGTCACTGTTTAATCTCAAGAAACACAAAAGATCCAAAAAACGATTACATTTTCTTATCGTTTCACGTGATGCATTCTTCAAATATGATCTTATTGGTGTGTTTTCATAAAATTATTGTAAACCATCGATAAAATATCACTATCGTACTTCATTTTAATCGCTTGAATATATTGCATTGATTTGGTAAACATTTGGTTATCAAAATTCTCTCAACGTATTCATAAAACAATGAACTATACATAAGTTACAAGTGATACACTTTGATAATTCTCTATTACCTTGTTTATGTTTGAAGACAATAAACACATTTCTCTGACACATCTTCTTTTTGACGTTCTACTGGCAGTTATTTTAGGTTCAACATACAGCAGTACAGCTAAATATCTAATACCAGATTCGGTTGTTCATGAGTTAAAACTTATGATGAATAGTTATCACGTTCATTGGTTAATTTTCAAATTGTAAAAGACAATCGATAACCTCGTGTCTTTATATTTGAAGAATTTGAAGATAAACGAACTCGAGTTAGATAAACATGATAACCAACCACCACTCGTTGGGGGACCCCTATCTATCGGAAGAATTGATACATGCAGAACTGGCTTGGATGTAACGCATGTGTCATCTCTTGAATCCTATCCGCGCGGTGCGACCGATTTGTGTCTCTACGTGAACATCCGCAACATCCGGGTAGCATGTCCCTATATCCATCATGTTGTTTATGACCCGGATAAACATCACTATCGGCATGATACAGTACATTTAAGGCCAAAATTGTTTCAATATTAAGCTACCGATCGATTGGCTTCACAGTAGAGTTTCATACCATCGTACCAGGTATCTATTATATCATATAAAATCTTCCGTTTTCTCTTTTCTTTTCTTTTTTGCAAATATTAGAAATAACGTCATTATCATTGAATCATTACTGCATATTAATAAAGAAGAAAACGTTAAAATGAATAATTATTTGCATGACTACGACTGTTGCATACTTAACAAACTGATGGATGAGGTGCTCGTATATCTACTGAGAGTAGACCGACAATCGTCTATTGTGTAATCTTTCCTGTTTGCGAAATGATATATTGTGTGGGATTGCTTTGATAAGCTTGTTATTTGTTATGAAGACTGAATGGTGGTAATACCAATAATAAATGTGAAAAGGTTTATTTTTTCTCGAGTTGTAGGGGATTAGTATTATCTAATGTTGTCCCAGCGTTAACACTATACATGTAAGTTGGTCTTTCTAACCTACTTTAAACTGTCACCAATTGTTTCACCAAGCCTGGGATAACAGTCACAACTCTTGATTTGCATGTTTCGTTGTGCGGACTTTGTTTGGAGATACATGTCGTAACAGGATGAGGCAGAGTTTGTCCCCTATAATGTCCATACACATGTATTGTGTAACAGTTTGCATAAAACCTTTTGTCTTAACACTTGTATATGTAGTGTATAGGTTTTTCAAAAACATGGGTTTCTCCTAGGAATAAATGGTTTCTGATTCCGATTGGCGAAACAATTGTCATGATCTATGGTGTAACCACAGAAGAAGACGTCCCAAAGCATTGCTATTTAACGTCGTAATTTGAAAATTGACCAATGAAATCACGTCCTGTTGTTTCCCACTAGTGGGTAACCAAAAATGATCATCAATGGTTGTGGGAGAAACTATTTACCCAACGCACAGTGTTGCTGGTGAAACAGGTTTCCAGTTCATAGTTACCTGCTCGACAGTGGTACGAGAATCATTAACAATTGTGTGTATTGGCAGTGAGCGATACTATATATATACACACATAGATGGTTTTCTCTCTTAATACTTGTAGTGTGTAAGTTAACATCTCAGAATTTGTATGCATAGTCATATTTTGTATAATGTTATAACCACACCTTTTTATAGATTTACATGAAAAGTACTGAAATAGCGTTTACGTTATCATTTTGGCAATGGAAATAAATCTTATATAGCACCAAGATATATCCAGTGTGATCTTGCTTTTGCAAAAGGCAAGAAGACGTAGGTTCATCTGATGTGACTGATGCAAAGCACATATTGTAACTATTTTATTAACACTTAACTCGCTTGGTTTCATCGACATTCGTCGTTTTACCATACAGTTATCAAAATAACCTCATGTGATGATTAAGCATACTATTGTTGGCACAGTCGAAAGGGAAAAAGACTAAGCGTGCTCACGTTGAGAAAGGTAAAGGAAATCAAATGAAAATAAAGTGATTTCAGGCATAACATATCTACATTGCTCAGAATATAAATAGGTAAATTATCGATCGTCAAGGTGATCACAGTGAGATTTAATCGCGCCTCTATACCGTAGGTATGCACACCGCTGATACACACAGTATTCAGTGTGACACTCGCCGCCCCGGACAGGTGTATTGAGGAACATCATCACCCAGTAATCAGTCAGCCAGATTGGACCTGACAGCAGAGGACCTGGTACGACTGAATGTAAGTTTCCTCTCTTTAATTATCTCGTAACAGCTACTGTACAAGTCCCTGACGACATCGTCATGGATTTAGCAATGAAAGTTGTGTGCTGATTGGGATATATTTAGTAGTTTAAGAAATGTTTGGGCAGATTTGCAGATTCGGATGTATTCAGTTGTTAAAAGAATTATTATTGAAGGTTTTATACAGAATAGGATATTTTTAGATGTTAAAGGAATTAATAATGAAAGTTTCGTGTGGATTAAGATATATTCAGATTTCTACATTCTAAGAATATACTTTTAATTGCCTGTGTCACATTGATGATATTGACCTAATTCGGATTACTTGTACGATGAATTGTACCATCTCGTAAAAGTGTCAAAACATATGTATGTTCTGTGCTAAATAGTTAGGGATTTGGATTGTAATATAAAAGTTAAGTTAAAAATAACATTATGAGTTTTCAGATATTCTGAACAATATCTTATATAAATGAGTTTACACACATTCATGTTATTACATTAATATGCATATTTTAGACACATATTTTAGATAGAGTTGAATGTTAAGGGCGTTTCTTTCTAGCACCTCCTACACATTTTTTTACCCCACACCTTTAAGAGGCCAGGACTCGTCCGCAGATCCGAGAATTTTACAAATTAGTATTCCTACGCATTCAACACAGTACTGATAAGATTTGACATGTCTTAGACTGGCGCTGTCGGTTGCCTCATCTGCAGAGAGTGAGGTATGTGTTTTAAAACAGGAATAATGCGACCTGATTTAAGTAGGGATAAGGGTAGCGATAACCTGTGTTTGTGCTAAATGATTTACTTAAGTGATAAATAGGTTGTAAGTTGTGTACTTTGTGACACATGGTATTAGAATATGCGAGTGGGAGCATGGTGACACGAAATTGATCTCGGGTGATGTAGACTGAACTGTCATGATATGTAAACAATATAATGCGACGTGACGGATAACAGGTCTTCTTTAGAAAAAGGATACTCATAGAACTTGTTTCTTTTACGCGTGCTTTTGTGAAATATACCAAAACACTACGCAAAGGGGGAACGAAGGTGCGACACCTATAAAAAGGTATGGGGGATTGAAATACATGACTACCAAATATTGAAATTTTTCTGGACAATGCTTTGCTATATCATTCCGTTCTTATCTTTATGTTCTATCCTTGTTAGCAGAGTTGACTAATTTACTTTTTGTATTAGAGAGCAAAGATATTTGTCCCATTAGTTATTGCATCTTTTTGACGTGTGGTATCTGTTCTTAGGTGGTTTAGGATGTCTTTCTTTTGTTTTGATTTCTCATTTGTTTCTGTTGCAGACTGTTTCATATTCACTCTGCTTTTCTCTTATGTCTTGTTCTTGTGCTGACGCTGTTGAGAAATGTGTTCCTGTGCGTCGACGTTGTTGTACATTTCGTTGTTTTGGCGTGTTGACGTCGTGGTACATTTAACTATTGCATGTTTACGTTGTGGTAAAATTTTCCCTCTTTTACATCGAAAGAGTAATATGTTTTGTATTTGTATTTTTACATAGTTGTTTATTTTGCTGCTCTTATCCATGGAACGAGTAATATTCCGTCTTTGCGTATTGCAGAGTTATCTTCTCTTGGGGGCAGGTATTGATTGTTACGTCATTGGTTTGTGTGAGAAAATTGCGTCGTTTTCTCAAAAATTGATGACGTTACTCTCACAAACAAGTGACGTAACAATCAATACCTGCTCCCAAGAGAAGGTAACTCTGCAATATGCAAAGATGGAATATTTTGTTTTTGTTTGTTGACCATGTGGCACGTTTTGCGTGTTCTTATGTGGTGACGTTGTGGTACATTTAACTCTTGTATATTGACATTGTGGTAAATGTTGCTATTGTGCATGGAAAAAGTAGTATATTTTGTTCTTGTGTATTGATCATTCCGTACATTTTATTTGTTTTTGTATGATGACGGTGTTGTACATTTTATGTGCTGACGTTGCGGTACATTTCGGTCTTTAAGATCGAATGATTTATACATTTCGTTCTTGTATGTTGACGATGTCGCACTTTTTGTTTCTTGTCGTGTGTTGACGTTGTGGTACATTTTGCTTATGTGTATGGAAAGTATAATATATTTCATTCTTGTGTGTTGAAGGTTTGGTACGAGTACATGTATTCAGTTTGCTCTTGTATGTTTACGTCGTGGTACATTTTGGTCTTGTGCATGGAAAGCATAACACATTTCGTTCCTGTGTGTTGACGCTGTGGTACCTTTCGTCTGTGAATATTTTCGAAGATACATTTTGTCCTGTGGTATTTTGTTTATCATATTAGTTAAGCTTCATTTCCGTGTAATTAGATAAATATCAAATATTGGCATGCGCTTCTGTTTTTTGCACATTTGAATAGTACTGTTTAGTATTGAGTTAATAATATAAAGAAAGGAATAGTCTTTTCTCATCTTAGTAAAGTAAAACAAAATAACCAATGAACCATGACAAAATAAGTTAAATCAATCTCATATTACATAGCAATATTAATGTACTGCGTTATTAAAAGGTGATAAGGTACAATGTTGTATACCGAGGCAAGGTTATTCTTAAAATAGATACGAGATCTCGTTCTCATTAAACGCCGGTTCACGTGATAGCGGTTAGTCTTGCATAGGTCAACAAGATTTCTTCATCATGAATACGAACTGATTTATTTGAAAAGTATTACTAAACTGATAATACGATTTTTGATTTCCTATCATGATCGAAACTCAAAATACAAGCAGAAACGTATCTAATGAATATGTTGTACTTCAGAGTAATTTTTCAAATAATATAGGGCGTTATATAAATAAATGTTGTATATTATTGTGTGTTGGTTGTTATACTTCACTAAAGTGTGGTAACAAAAAATATAGTATTTATACAGGAAATGTCGTAGCAATACCAGACGACAGTTTAAAATAGATTACTTCATTTTGTGGACTGAAATGTGCTATTTTTTCTGGCGCCACTTTGGCATGAACGCAATGTTTCGACACACTCCATGTGTATGACTGAGCAGCACGTGTTTACTAGCACCGTTATGAACCCTTCATGAATCAATTCAAGACCTGACATTTATAGTAGTATGATTGTCTTGAGTAGATCACAACGTCATTTTGGCGATTTACATAAATTATTTGTTTTCATTGAAACCGGATACACTTCACTCCAAGACATGTCATATTTCAGTCAAGGAAAAACAACAGCTAGTTTCATTGAAGAGGATTGGACTTGATTGCCGATCGATATATATATTTTATTGCCCATACTACATCTTTAATTTATTACCGCTACTGTTTGTATGTTATGATGTTTTATTGTTTTAATACTTTTACACTGCATTGATTGTTTGCTTCTCTTCACTGTTGGTGCAGTACACTTACCCCATCAGCTATTCGTGATTTCCTTGTGAATGTTTCTGGTTGTGTTCGGAGAACTCCTCTGTTGTATATGGTATTCACTATCCACGAAAGAGAACATCGCTTTCTCTTGCGGTCAGAGCACCCTTTGTATTCTCGTTATCCATAAAAAGAGGCTTTACCCGTTTTTGAATTGTATAAAACCGTTAGTAAGGTCACTGGTTTTGATTGACCTAGCAGTATGCACAAATTTGTTTTGAAAACGAAAGTACATTATGCAATTAAAACCATATTATCTTCACTTTGAAATACAAGCATTTCAACGAATGTACAGCTATAGCAATGGAGAGAAACATTAATGAACTTCGAATATCTTGTATCATTTTGACAGGGTTTCTTTAATAATTTCACGCATGGAACTCAATTAATTAATTGGGTTTTTGAAAGCTCTAATTATATTTATATTTTTCTTCACATTTTTTCCAATCAAGAATGCTGTTTTCGCCCAGGGTTGCTCCACGATTTAACCTTCCCATTATGTTGTACTTTTACAACGAGAAAAAAGTCATTATATGATACACTGGATTAATAAGCTAATCAAGGTTTCAATATGCCGGATACATCCATTTGTTTTAAGGCAATTATTATGCACCAATCTAAAAATAATTAACATGAAACACCAATAAAGATATCCGGTAGTCTTAAAATTAATCATTTAAACCTACATTGGTAAGTTAATCAATCATTTGCTAATGGGCCTGTATTCATGAGCTAAAACATCATCCCTGATATGACAGATTCAGTATCAATGACGTTATACTACTAGATTAGACACATATTTCTATAGTCATATAGACATGTACAAATTAATTGAAAATATTGACTTAAACATGAAATGCATTTTAAGATTCCTAATGACGATGAATTGCATTTCATATAGAAATGAAAAATAGCATTTCATCTTTCTTCAGATATTAGATTGCTTCACTTTTGGTGTAGCTGCAGCAACGTGTTTACCAATGAAAATAAGATAATTATCGAGAAACAGCTGTAGATCATACACTTCATTGTATGGCCTCGTGAACGGTTTTGCATTAAGTCTTGCCTATTACCAACTTTGATTTAGACAGATACAAAAGTTGAAACTATCAGCAAATACGACTTAATAAGCTGAATTCCGCTTACAATGGTATACGTCTTACAAATTGTTACAGTTTGAGAATACAATGTCTACAAGTTACTTCATGTGTCATATATTACAACATTGTATGTGTCATATATTACAACAAGGTATGTGTTATATATTACAACAATGTATGTATGGTATGTTACAACAACGTATGTAATTATATATAACAACAATATGTGTGTTATATATTACAACAATGTGTGTGTAATATGTTACAACAATGCATGTGTGTTATGTTACAACAATATATGTTTTATATATATCAACAATGTTTGTGTCATATATTACAACAATGTATGTGTTATATATAACAACAGTGTGTGTATGATATGTTACAACAATACATGTAATTATATATAACAACAATATGTGTGTTATATATTACAACAATGTGTCTGTCATATGTTACAACAATGCATGTGTGTTATGTTAC